GATTCCATTTCCTTCTCATGTTTCCCCCTGCAGTCCAAAGACGTGTTTAGGTTAAAGGGCTTCTCTAATTTGCTAGTGCTAAGAATAATGTGCATTGCGGTGGACTGCCATCAGATTCTGGGTGCACCGCCGCCTTATGCTCTGTGTTCCCTGGGATAGTCTCCAGGTCTCCCTGCAGCCATGTCTAGGATAAGCAGCCCTCAGGTGGATGGGAAAACAGCTTCATTATTTGCAGTTCTCAATAAAAAAAAAGTTTCTGGTTTAGTTTATTTTAATCCAAGGCATTTTTAAAAACATAATGTGATATGAAACCTGTCTCCATGATGAGAAATGGGGACACCTCTCTCACTTTGCCATGTTTCATTCTTTCAGCCTCATACTGCAGCCCCCCAGACCCCCCCGCCAATGGTTCAGTCCACAGCCTGACCGGCACCAAGCTGGGAAGCACCCTGCGCTTCAACTGCGACCAGGGCTTTCGCCTCATTGGCCAGAACAGTGCCACCTGCTCCCGCACCCCCCAGGGCCTCTACCAGTGGAATGCCCCAACACCCCTCTGCCAAGGTACATATGGGCTCGCCCGCCTGCTGAGGACTGGGGAGTGCAGGTGGGGTGATTCTGTCAGGTGAATCATGGGATAAGGGTGTGAGGTCAGAGTGTGGACAAAGTTTCCATGGAGGACGAAGGGTTGTGGAGGTAAGAGGGACAGGCCCTCACTAACCTCTGCAAAGCCAGTTCAGGAAGTTTCTGCAGTTAAAGCGTGCATTTCCCCAGACAGCTCTAACGTTTTGCTGTTGTACCTTTTTTGGCTGCGCTTGTGTGACTCCTTCATCCTTCCTGCCTCTTCACTTCACTTTAAGCTTCTCTGAAGATGGGAAAACAGCCTCACCTGTGGGAGCAATTTAATGGGCTAGCGGATGGAAACTCCCCTTAAAGTTTAGACGTTGGGTTTGCAATTCTGGTCCGCCTGGGTGTCGCTCTTTTTGGAATGAGGGGAGCTTGTCTCCTTTACGCTGATGCCGTTTTTAATCCTTTTATCGACAGTTATGACTGTTCACAGCCGTGCCGCAGTTTTCTGTTTCTCTTTTATCTGTCTCAGCTACTCTTTTTTTATTAGTTTCTTTTGCCTTATCTTTAAGCATACCAGAGGGTTGTCCTTATTTTGGAATTTCTCATTAATATCTTTATTTGCAGAGTTCTTCAATTGCAGCAGTGTTTTTTTAAAAGGTGCTTTGAAAAATCACCTACAAGCACATACACTGTAGATAATTTTTTTTTGCATATCTTATCATGCTCTACTATGGGACACACTCACTAAACAGAGTGCAGTATGAGCCATTTTTCTATCATGTCAAAGTGGTTTTTGGGTTCACAAACTTCTCCAACAACGATACAGTTATTGCCAGGGGATTCGAACCAGCGACCTACTGGACAAAGGCAAAAACTGCTAAATTTTTTGTATAGCTGGATATTTGCCAAACCTTGAGCTAAACGTCACACCACTTTCTGGAAAGTCAGTTCATGGCGTTATTTTGTCCATCACGGCCTTCACTCTCTGTCACCCCATAGTGGTGTCTTGTGGCATGCCAGCATCCCCAATCAACGGCAGCGTGACCGGTCGTGATTATACTGTGGGCACCAAGGCCACCTACCACTGCAATCCCGGCTACCAGCTAACCAGCCCTTACACAGTGTCCATCGTCTGCCAGGACTCTGGGAGGTGGAGCCCAGCTGATGCCCCGCCCCACTGTGAACGTGAGTCCCACCCACATTGGTCAGTAACTTATGTCGTCACTTCAGTCACAGCCTTGATGTCTGGGTGGCTGTCAGCCGCAAAATAAATCTCTTGAAAAGAATGTTGAGAAATTAACTACAGCAAGTGTCAGTAAAGATTCTCAGAGCAAACAGAGGTGAAATTTCATATTATTGGTTTATTTTAAAATGTGGGGCTATATGAAATATTATGCTTAATTAAATGCCTTATTTTTAATAATATTCTGTTGAAATGGAAAGTAGCAGTGGCAGATTCCTGTTATTGTACCTGTCACACATTTTTAAGATTCACCGATGGAAGGTGCTATCTACTGTATATGGGATCAGGTGCTGGAGTATTTTACAGTGTATTACAAGATGAACGGCGGGTGCCATCATACATTCTAGTTCTATACAGTATTCAGTTCTTTTCGGTTGTTCTGTTACATAGTTTTGGACAGAAGTTTCAGTTTTCAAACAAGTGAAAGAATGGCCTCTGGATTTTCTTGGCTAAAAGAGCCACTCTATATTAATGTCTCTGACCTCTGACCCCTTGCATTTCAGCGGTTATGTGTCCTGACATTGGCCACACAGCAGTGGACTATGGCAGGTGGAGGCTGATTTACGGGACCCTGAATCAGTACGACTCCATGATGATGCTCATTTGTGACCCTGGCTACTACTACCGCGGTCAGCGAGTCATCCGCTGCCAGGCCAATGGAACCTGGGACTATCCAGAACCCCGGCCCGTGTGCAACAGTGAGGACTCGCCTCCTCACGGAAAGCTTCACATTTGCTATTTTATATATATTGTACTTTTACCTTTGATATCAATATTGTTTTAATAAAATGTGGCAAACTGCCAAAAAGAAAAAGAGCAAAAGACAAATAGATAGAAGAACCTGAAGTGTCACGCTGTTTAACCTGGGGTAATTTAAGTTTCCAAATGAAATCCCATTGGCTAACATCCACCCCCTTTGCTGTCACTTAGTCATCTCCTGTATGGAACTGGGCAGCCCTCCCAATGGGAACAAAATCGGCACCCTAACCGTGTACGGAGCAACAGCCATTTTCTCCTGCAACACGGGCTACACGCTGGTGGGCTCCCGAGTCCGGGAGTGCATGTCCAACGGGCTGTGGAGTGGAACACAGGTCCAGTGTCTCGGTGGGTCTGCTTTCCGGGTCAAAATGCCCTGATCAACACATTTCCTTTTTGTTCATCCTCTTTTTTTGCCATCATTCTACTGTGGTTCCCTGTTCACAGCTTACCTTGCACACCAAAGTGTGATCACCCCCGTGAGCGGCTGAATTGATCTTTATTTTCTGCTGTGTGCGTGTGAATGTGTGTTACTGTTTGTGTGTGTGTGTGTGTGTGTGTGTGTGTGTGTGTGCGTGCACGTGTATGTTTGTGTGTGTGTGTGTGTGTGTGTGTGTGTGTCCCACAGCTGGCCACTGCGGTGCCCCCGAACCCATGGTGAACGGGCAGATCATTGGTGAGAACTACAGCTACCGCGGCAGTGTGGTGTACCAGTGCAACCCGGGCTTCCGGCTCATCGGTGTCTCCGTGCGCATCTGCGAGCAGGACCACCACTGGTCCGGCCGGACCCCCGTCTGTGTCCGTGAGTGTGCCGGCGGCCTGGCAGTGCAGACGTGCTTCGGCCTAGAGTCTCATCATCAGTCTTCTGGCTGAACTTACAGATCCACTTCTTTCCACTTTCCAACACCTTTTGATAGCAGTTTAATGTACTTAAACCTGAAAAATCACAAATTCAGTTTCAGCTGCCTGCTTGTGTTTTCTATTATTTATTAAAAAGCATTTTTTATTAAGTGTTAGTAATTAAAAATATAACTATGCACGTATAGTAGTGAGATGTATGCTTTTGTTAGCATACCCATCCTCACTCCGATTTTTGTTTCCGCTGCAGCCATAACCTGCGGTCACCCTGGCAACCCGGCCAACGGCGTGACCCAAGGCACACAGTTCAACCTGAATGACGTCGTGCGCTTCACGTGCAACACGGGCTACGTGCTGCAGGGGGCGGTGGAGGCGCAGTGCCAGGCCAACAGCCAGTGGAGCAACGGCCTGCCCCACTGCAAAAGTACGTCCCCTGTGTGTCTGAGCTTGCGTGTGCAGGCGTGCGACTCAGATAAGGAGGCGTGAAGCTGTCATTCACGTGGCAGAATGTGGCAGGCGAGGGGATAAGGACTGATGTCATGTGCCTGAAGTTGGAGGGCTTGTCTCGGAACGTGACATTTGTGCGTGTCACACTTTTGTCCTCGGTACATCAGCCTCTCTCTCGAGAAACAATGGCTTCATCAGGCTGAAATTAACTCAACCATTAGCATGCTGAGCTGAATCACTCAGTCCTTGGCTTTCCAATCTCAGTCTGGCTGTGTGGCAAATTTCACCTTTCAGCAAGGACTCTTCATTTTGAATTTGGTTTGAAAGGTACGGCATGCTGGATGCGTAGGTTGCTGTGCGGCCACGCTCTGGGATCGTCTCGCCGCCCTGGCTCAGTGTGTGTGCGGCCTCGCTCTGGGATCGTCTCGCCGCCCTGGCTCGGTGTGTGTGTGGCCTCGCTCTGGGATCGTCTCGCCGCCCTGGCTCGGTGTGTGTGCGGAGTTCGCACGTCGCTCTATTCTATGGCTCCTCTCCAGATTCGCCGGCTTCCTCCCTTCAGTCCAAAAGCGAGCAGTAATGTGGGTCGTTGTCTCTTAATTAAGCATTGTGTGTGTGAGTGTGATGGGTTGGCACCTCATCCAGGGTGTCCTGGGCTCGAAATTCACATGGCCACGTGCTGGATAGACAGAGCAATGGAAATTGTATGCAGAATTATTATTTTTATTTTTTTTCATGCTTGACAAAGGGAACAAGGTCAGGGGTGCCATTTTGTTACAGTTTTCTTAGTTAAATTTCATGATACCCATTCATATTTTAACCATTTATCCTGGTTAGGGTTGCAGGGGGGTCCTGGAGCCTATTGCAGATGGCACAGGGCAAATGGCTGCCCCCCCCCCCAAATGGAATGCACACACCCTCACATACTGCAGAGAATCTTAATGGCATGTCTTTGGAGTGTCCAAATCTGGATATCCAGAGGAAATGAGTGTGAGACAGGGAGAGCATGCCAAAGCCACACACGGAGGTGGGATTCAAACCCACAACCACGGGGTTTAGCCACTGTGCCACTTCCTTTTCTCTTACTATGAACAAAAGAAGAGCTGGATGAACATGTTTTGGCAGAAATTCACAATGGTGCTTATATACCTACCTACCACTGTGTGTCTTGAATCTCTACATTCATTCTGGGCCATCGTTCTATCGTTCCGCTTTGCTAAATTTGCCTTTTTGCTATGCAAATGAAGTCGTGAGAACAGACGGGCAGAGAATACAAGAACATAAGCAGCAAGAGCCCTCCCTGGTTGGATTCTTAATGTTAATCACAATATAGGAATCGCTTCAAATTACATGTATGTTTACCCTCTTTCTGGAGTCTTAATACCTTCATAATTTCCAAATAGCTCTGCCTCCCACCCCTCTCACTAGATCATTAAATCCTATTTACGGAAATCAGGGGAACAACATGGAGACAGCTAATAACCTCCAAAAATGAGATCTCAAACATTAAGATTAGGGCTGCGTCAACAATTCAGCCGGCCTCTGTACATACATCCCTCCTAATCAGAAACAATTTGTCAGGACACTGCATTGCTCTCCATAAAACGTTCCCCAATTGCACCAATAAGACGATCTGCTGCTCTCACCCAAAAAACAGTAAAAAAAATTCCCATAAAAGAAAGAGCAATTATTTTCCAGGGTTGCCACCCTCAGAGTCTGGGCTGTGTTTAGGTATCTCTCAGTAAGGCCTCCTGTCCACAAATCAACATGGTTCCATTACACGTTCCTGCACCGACAAGCCGTCCTGAAGGTTAGTGGCACCTCCGGTGCCCACAACACCCCCTACCTCCCACCCACGCCCACCGCCTCCGCTCCATGCATGCCAGCCTTCCACTTGGAGCAATGGTGACCCTCCTGGAAGGTGCAACCATCTGGCCTCCCTGTTCAAGTCTCCATCATCTTGACACCAAAATACAGATCGCCGGAGTCCCTCATTGCAAATGGATGCAGAGGACGCTTTATTCATAACAGCTGTCGCAAATTTTTAACAGCCGCCTCTTCACTGGGACTCACCCAGAACCCTCCAGCTGCTTTGCAGTTTTGCTGCATTTTTGTCCCAGATCGATTGGGAGTGTGGCACTGATCCTACCAGACACCCCACTCAGACCCAAAGCAAGCAGTCACTTCCTGCCACAGTCCTCCGTTTCCTTTGTGAGGCTTTAAACCGACACCCCGATCTCTCTCCATGGCAATTTCCGTTTAGTTTAAGATCCAGGTCATTTCAAACTCCAGACGCATCTTGGCGTGATTGGCTGGGGAAGCCTAAGCTGTTTCCTTCAAAGTATTCTGCAAACTTTTTTTTTTCCCCTCTCCTATTGTTGTGCTTGACAATTTAGCTGTCAGGTCAGTTTGGTTTTGCGTTTTTTAAACTTTAAGTGTAGACCTAGAGCCTTTGACAGCCAGCCTGACACAGCCGAGAGGAGACAAGCATCTTAAGTGGGGGGAAGTCAAGCGATGTCAGGAAAGGGAAATATATGTCCCATTTTTTTCTTTTTTTTTCTTCTTGTAACACAACCCATTTCTGGATATATGTAAACAAAAAAAATGAATCCTTCAAATAAGTATGTTCAGAGAGTGTCTGGTAATGGATTCCCCCAAGTTCCTGTTTAACCTACTTCTTTACAGGGGGAAATGTGTTGGTGGTAAGGCAGCTTGAACAGGCATAATAGGGTAAATGCGTGTTGAGTGTCACTGACTAAAAACTGAAAATGTTGTGCTTTTTTTAAATTATAATAGCTTACATTTTTAAACCCTTTTTCTCACACTGTGCAGTGTAATATTGTACCAGAGTAATTTGTGTTAAGTACCCTACCTAAAGAATAGAGTGCCCCAATCTCCGCTGGTATTTTAGGCATCCTCCACGCAACCAGCACCTGCGCATTCTATCGCGTCACGATATACTAGGCCAAAGTGACCTTTTAAGCTCCCGTGTGACATGCCTGCAGGAAATACACGCAGATCAGTGTCACGAGTATTATTTACCATGACTGCGTCTCCATCTCGCAGCCAGCACGTGACATGTAGCCGTTTAAATCACATATCCCAGAATGCTTTGCAGCAGATAATTATTGTATTAAATGCGATTCTTATTGGTTTCTCTCATTTTTTGAGGGAAACCATGTTCAAAAACCATGAAAGGGCCTAGAACATATTCATCACCTGAGTAAAAACGTTATGGTCATGAGCGGCTGGTGCAGATGTGCTCACACAGCGATGCTGCGCCGGACATTCAGCCGCCTTCATTTGCAGTCTCATGGTGAACGCGTCCTCTCTGCTCTTGTGTTCTCCAGTTGTGAACTGCACAGACCCCGGACACGTGGAGAACAGCGTGCGGCAGGTCCTGCCCAGCGGGCCTCACCGCTTCAGCTTCCAGACCGCCGTGTCCTTCACCTGCAGCCCCGGCTACTACCTGCTGGGCAGCAGCACACTGGCCTGCCAGGGTGACGGCACCTGGGACCGCGCACTCCCCAAGTGCCTCTGTGAGTCACTGACACCCCCCACCCCCAGCTGCTCCGTCTTTTAGCTTTTAGCCTCCTTTTAGCCTGCGGGCGGTGAGAGCGAGAATAGATATTTTTGTCTCTCCCAGATAAATTACCCTTGTTCGTCACATGGCCTTTTTTGTATTATTCTTCAAAACCATCGCATAAAAACAATAGAATTTTGCGATTGTTTAAAAAGCCATTAGCAGGCAGGGAGGAGGCTGGGGCCCAGTGCCATCTCTCTGGCCGCTTCGTCTTTCTTTCACTGCCTTACTTTGTTTGCAGTAATTAAGCTGGTAAGCGCTGGAGTCTTTAACCCTGAAACCTCAGTGTGGGGGACGGGGGGGGGGCTGGAAGCCCCCTCTCCCTGGCCCCTGTGCCCCCTGCTGTCTGCTCACGGCCTCGTGCCCCTTTTCCCCCGTCGCAGTGGTGCTGTGTGACCGGCCCAGCGTGCCGCCCTACGCCCAGATTTCGGGGGACCGCCGCACCGTGGGCTCGGTGATCCGCTACAGCTGTGCGGGCCGGCGGCAGGTCGTGGGCAACACCACCCGCATGTGCCAGCTGGATGGGCACTGGAGCGGATCGCTGCCACACTGCTCCGGTAATGCCGCCCTGCACCCCCCAGCATGCGTCCTGTCCGGAACGTACTGGCAGGACCACACATCGACATGCCAGGGCCCCGGATAGATTCTCCCAAATCCAATTGCCCCCCCCCTTTCCAAACTAAAGCTACCAATATCCACAGTAGGGGCATGGATACCCTGGGGCCCAGCATTTTAAAGGGGCCCCTGAATACATTATTATCATAATCGGTAACGCTTTACATTAACTACACCTTCATAATGCTTTTATATTGCATTCATAAAACGTTCAGTACACCTTCATAATTTATTCATAAAGTATTCATAAAACATTCATAAGCATCATGTATGTATACCTTAACATCCTAACCATCCCTGAAATATAAATTAACAACAAATATTATATAATAATAACAAACATTATAATCGCATAATCATGTAATGTTTGTTATTAATATATATTAAAGCTGTTAAGGGATGTTATGATGTTAAGGTGTACTTGCATGCTGCTTATGAATGTTCTATGAATGCATTATGAAGGTGCACTTAATGTAAAGTGTTACCTAATAATTATATAATGTCAGTGTCTGGGCCGCAGAAAGCGTTCCCCTCTCCCCCCGCCATGAGCAGCTCTGTGTGCTGGGGCTACATACTACACACTATTCAGGCCCTCAGGAGGTTCACTGGGGTGGCTGAGCGGCCGACGATCGACTGTAAACACCAGGGGAGTTATAATCCCTACACTGCTCTCCTGCCGGCAGGTTATCCTCTAAAACCTGTGGATCAATAAAAAAAAAAAGAGAACTAACTAACACACTTTAGGAAGCCCACTTGTAAACACTCCCAAGATTTGAGACCTCTGTCTGCTGGTTACCCGCCAGGCAGCGATCCTGCACCCCCCGCCCCCGAGCTCACACAGGTGTGCATTTAGTGCGTGGAAAACAGTGTGGCATGTTCCTCTAAGGCTCCCCGCCTGCCTTAAATCACCCCCCCCAATCATCCCCCCGTTTGTGTCTCAGCAGAAGCCTGTCGCACAAAGCCGGATGGGTTAATATCGCAATTGATAGTGTTGATGTTGTCAGGAGTGACCGTCTCCCACGCCAGGTCTGACGGGCAGAGGACCGTAAAAATCCCCCTTATTGCGCTGCTTTTCCGATAAAGGCGGTAAACACCATTAAAGTAATGTCTCCCTGCTCACTGAGGTGCCTTAGTGCACACACATATTAAATACATCACCGGTGAGATTCTAAAAGCGTTTAGAGAGGGGCCTGACTGGAGAGAGAGGGGCGCTAAAAACAGACAAGAGGGTGTACAGATTATCTGAGAATTTGCGCACAAAGGAGCTGAAATGGAAGGAGACCTTCCCTTTGAAGAGTAAGCCCCGGTAACTAATGGAAATCTTTAATCCTCCCTAGTTTCCTGCCGTGTGTCAATCTTTCTCCTACTTGACTCTTACCACCTGCCGTTCCTCCACATTTACACTTTCTGCTTTTCATCTTTTTTCATTCATTTCCTCTCGACATTAGAATACAAACTAATAAACAGTGTCGACGCGCGGCTCTGTGGGTTCGGGCGCCATGCCTGCGATCAGACAGTCATGACTGTAAGTCCTGTAGTCAGCAGCATTTCACCGTCGGGCCCATGGGCGAGTTAGTTACCACACCCCCGCCCGCTCCAGGCGCTGGCCACCCCTGCTAAATAAATAAATGCAAAAAAAAAGTTACTGATATCTTGCTGGATGGTTAGAAGTTCTCAAACCTCTTCTCGGGCATCCAAGTCATTACATTAATTCATTAAATTTTGCCACCAGTTCATTTAATTAATTAACTTAATCAGGTAATAAACTGTATTAGGTATGGATTAGCCAAACAAGTGGTAAGTTTAGTAAATATCTCAATATAGTGGATGGTGACAGTGGATACTGTAGTGATTTGAGGGGACAAACACTTTGAGATTCACAAACGCAGTTTGATACTAACACTAATGTCATTTCTGGTGACAGCCTAAGACTTTTGCGCAGTACTATGTATGTTTTAAACTAGCATGTATGGTCCATTCCTCTTGGAGAGAAGCTGCTTCCCTCTCTGGGTCGGCAGGGAAGCTGTACTTCACTGTACTTCACCGCTGCTTCCTGATCCCACTCCTCTTGCATCACAGGGGATTCCCCAGGCCTATGCGGAGACCCCGGTGTGCCGGTTCACGGCATCCGGCTGGGGGAGCAGTTCTCCACGGGCAGCGTGGTGCGTTTTAGCTGCGAGCCAGGCTATGCACTCAAGGGCGCCCCCGAGAGGACCTGCCTGGCCAACGGGACATGGACAGGCATCCAGCCCGAATGCCACGGTATGGTGCCTACTGTTGGGGATGGTATGGTCTGCATAGAATGACATGCGGGTGTGTTTTATGGTCTGGGTGGCTTTGTTTGTGATCCTGCTACACTGAGTGCAGTTTTGTCTGTGTGTGTGTGTGTGTGTGTGTGTGTAAGGACTACCTGGCTTTTTTCGCCGCCCTTTCTGTCGGCCCCTGCCAGTCGTCTTACACATGTCAGCCATTCCGATTTTCTCCTTCATTTCCTCTCTCCCACAGGCAGCACCTTTCCCGCATCCCTCTGTTTGTCGTCTGTTGTATTTGCCATCGATCCTTCGGGCCCAGGTCCCCGTTTCCTGACGGGGGCGGGGATGACAGAGTTGTCCCTTTCTGTCACTGAGCTGTCACCTGGGGCATACACGGTATTTTGGTGTGTGTTGTTTCCGGTGGAGGCGATGTTTTCTTCTCCCAGGTGCGCTCGCTTATACACCAAGCCTGACGAGCTGTCACCAATTCGGGGGGGGGGTCCAAACAACAGGTTAATATCTAACGGGGAGGGGCTGCTTTTCAGAAATATCACCCTGACTCACGCTGGCAGTGTTTAGCCAGAGTAGATTTAGGTGGTGGAATGGAATTGCTCCTACATTGCTATGAGGTGTCCTTAAGTATCATAAGCAGCCATTTGGAATACAGGAAAGGATGTTGTTAGGAAGCAATCAGAGGTATTGTAAGTAAGGTGAGCCAGGGACGTTCCTCAGACCACAAGACATCAGGGGCGTAGCCCGGAGACCTGACAAGTCCGAGGGTCATCATACTGCCCCTGTCTGACGATGTGATGATCGCAGCACTATGGAGGTTCTTACGGGATTTTCAAACTGGCTGTTATAACACCCAAGTTGCACAAATTATCTGGGGCTTGTCCATATTCATTCTGGGGGCGTCAGCCCCCGGCGCCCCAGGCTTGTGATGCGTCTGAAGTGAGCCCTGTCAACCTGTCATATTACAGTCACCCCACGCACGGCATCCATCATGGCTAAATCTGGCCATCCTGCCGGCCCACGTCCTTCTGGCTCCTCACCTGCAGTCCAGGTGGTCAAGAAAATTGCGGGGGAACTCCGTGTAGAAGAATCGGATTCTCCCCCGACTCTGCCATCCCATAAATTAGCATGTTAAAATGCGCCCTGGAGGAAAGCGTGGTGGATGGTGAGGATGTCTCCACGGTGATGGGCCAGCCACTGTTTCTTCCTGATAGCTGGGAAGTGGGACACAGCAAAACGTGAAGATTAAGATAAAGATAAAGGAAGACTACTGAGCCATCATCTTCTGCTATATTCTAGAGAGTGTTTATTTAATCGGGAGGCGGGGGGGGGGGGGGGGGGGGGGGGGGGGGGGGCTAACTCAGGCTGGTAAATAATGCAGAGGGTGCTCAAAATTCTGCCGGTCACTGTCACAGTGGTGGTAGTGACAAACGTGACCCTTTTTTCCCCCTCACCCCACCCCTATCGTATTGCATGCATTCCTCCACCCCGACAGGAATGCCGATGCTTTGGATCACATCGCAAGCCAGAATCAGGGCCTGTGTTTCTCACAAAGGCCTCCCTGACTCTCAGACCCCCATCCTGGGCGGTTTTATTGTTTTTCGGCATGTATTTAAGGCCCCCGCAGGTCCAATTTAATTGGTCCAGGAAGAGATGCGGTGGATTTTTATCACCTGTCTTCCTCGGAAGTATCGCTCAGGAGATTTGTTTGATGGCCAACATCAGTCCACACAGGTGGACCGGCGATATATCTGTTCGGGAGCGATTTACGATCTCTTCGTGTCTCTCCTTCTCACTCTCCCATCTTCTCACTCTTTGCCCCCCTTAGTGGTGTCATGCGGCAACCCCGGAACCCCCCGGAACGCCCAGGTGGTATTCCATGACGGCCTGGTCTTCTCACGCTCCATCACCTACGCCTGCCGTGAAGGCTACTACTCCACCGGGCTGCTGACCCGGCACTGCACGGTCAATGGCACCTGGACAGGGACCATGCCAGAGTGCACAGGTAACCCCCCTCCCCCGAGCCTGGACACCCCACCTGCCCTAATTGCCTAAACATGGCTTTGCATATTACCTATACACAACCGGCAGACACAGAATGGATGGGTAGGGGAGCATTTATCGAACCATGATTTCATCCTTTATCCCCTGACAAGGAACACAGCGAAGGTCATCCAGAAAACCAGCGTTGATGGTTTCGTGCTCTAATGTTACAATTAATCATCATCCTTTTTTATCTGCCGTGGTCTCAGTCGTCCTCCTGTGCCACTGCAGCCTCCGAGATGCATCGCCATTCTCCGCCGCCTCCCCACATTAGCTTCCAGTTCAGGCCTTATCCGTCTCAGCCAGCTCCATAATGAGGCAGCTCTGTTTCTATGGCAACGTATCCCAGCTTGCTGAGCCAGATCCCAGAGCAGATTAAGTCAGGTAATCCTGACTTCTCTCCATACAAGGTTTTCGGGAGTGCAAGCAGAGGTCTGCATTGTCAAATGTGTGTACCGTTGTGTCTTTGGTCATGTCAGCAGGGCATGGTGGTTCGTGTTAATGGCCAGTCCGCCTTAATTGCAAAGTTAGTCTTACATACGTTCCGGCTTCCATCGGAGTAGCCCGGGAGACAGGAGGTGGTCTTGCATAATTTTTCGGTTCTCGTGGGTCGTGTGTCACATGATTCATGGCAGCTTTGCTCTAAATCTGGTCCAGGAGAGAGAGCAGAGAAGAGCAGAGAAAGGGTGTATGAGCTGGATCTCTGAAGCAGTCGACATAATCCACCACCATTCCATGATTTCCAGGAGAAAGTCTTCTATTATCAGAAAAATAAAATATTAAAAATCTCCTTCACAACACTGTTTATCAAAGCAATTGGTCTGGGAAGTTTTCGGGCATTCTTGATCCCTGCTTGTGTATAACTGTAGTACTTCACATTGTGTAAGATGTTATTTTCTGTCTTCTTCTTCTTGTGGGCCTGTTGTCGGGTTGTTCATCGCATCTAAACGAACTGGTTCTGCGAGTGCTGCGGGAAGTCCGTGTTCCCTGGTGTCTGACTGCCGGAGCAAAGCCTTCGTACACATTAAGACCTCGAATAAAACTGCTTCTGATTGTGATTGCAGTTCCCTGGAATAGCCAGACATTTAGTTATGTATTTGTTTGGGCTTTAGCAGTCCCCTCTTTACTCTGCGCTGGGATTTAACATGTCATTGGTGGGGGCACAAAATCCACGTCAGTCACGGGGAAGAAAGGTCGGCAGTTTGCTGAATAAAAGTGGTCTGAGTGAACAAGATCATATCGGTCCCTAAAATAGGCCCTTACAAAACCAAATTAGCTTCCTGTCATGGAGCCGACCAACTTGAACCAGATTACTTGGGCTAATTCTTGTAAGCTCCCTTTGTGGAGGGATTGCCGGGCTGTCGGAGGGGTTTGATTAATCTACCCGGTGAAGGCTGACATTGTCCCACGCGCCAAACACGTTTGAATGAGAACTCGCTGTATAAGTGTGCAGTCCTGTGAGGTCAGTCCTGTGAGGTCAGTCCTGTGAGGTCAGTCCTGTGAGGTC